ACTCCCGATCAACAATCAAATATATTTTCTTGAATTTTGAATAACACGAATGGATCGAAATATTTAATTAAATTATGCCAAAATAAACCATCATTTCGGTGCAATATTAAAATTAGTTTGAATTCTTCATAACCTCTGAATAGTGGTTGACCCAACGGGTCACGGTGGTCTAGCTAAATTCTAACACTTTAATCTGGTGATGACAAAACCTTGTCCATTTGCTGTTATGTTAAACTTATATTAAAGTTTTTCTTCATTACCCATTCAAGCCGTCTCCAAGCATTATTAGATGAAGAAAAAACATTAAGGTTTATACAGACTGTGAGCATTAAAAACTTCCAACCGGAAATAAACGTCATGAAGAGTTCTTTAAATGTACGATGCACGACCAATTTTTGTGAAAGTTGACATTTTGTATGTCGATTCTAAGAAATGTAAGAAGTGGTTGCATTTGAAAGGAAAATATCACATTCGAATTTTGATTATTCAATCATACAGAATAGCTTGATTTTCTGTTGTGGCAGAAGCACTTGTGCAATCTGAAAGGTTCATTTTACTTTAAAAGGTAAAATTTGTTTATAAAACATCATGGAGTTTAATTTAATATTTAGGTGTTTAATGTATTGCTCGTATTATATTTCATTCAGCTATTAAATTTAAATATATATATCTAAATATACTAATATTTCGTAAGATGTGACGGTACAAGTTATGGCATTGATGTTGAAATATTTAAATACATGTACATAGAAATTATGAATTACACAACTTTTTTCTGTTACTATTATTTGTTGTAGTAGTAATTTATAATAAAAGTGAATTGTTATGCGTTTAGATATATTTAATAGCAAGCCTAATTCTAATCCTGTTGTCGTTCTTTTGAGTAACCCTAGGTATGTTTGTCTACTGGGGGGAGGGGGAGAGTGCGAATGACCACCCGGACATTCTATCTTTTGGTTTTTTTAAATATACACTTGATTTTAATGTACTAGACTGTCATTGTGTTACTGTTAGTCCATTATATTTATAGGAGAGAGAAAAACAAAACGACATATTGTGGCATTTCATAGAACATTATGGAGTTTAAAGGCTTCATGGGGGAAAGAAGTTATATTTACGCATTTCTAAATTTTTATGATGTACAATAATTTTGAGGAACCAATAGGATATTCTGATTTTTCAGATCTGACAACACTGGGCTGGGCTTACTAATTTATTGATTAACAAAATTACACACTCAATAAACTCAAATATTCTCGGGCACAACTGCATTGTGAGTTCATTTGTAAGAACTATAATTATAAATGGATCATATTAAGCCATTTTATCAATTCATCACAATATCTTTTCCTAAATTATTTGCTAATGTTTAATTTTATCCAATAAGTATATTGTGTTTATTTACATTATCGGTGTTGTAGATACATGAAAAAAATGTTACTAAAGTTCCCTTTTCTTATTTTTATTTTAAAAAGTGTTGTTACTGTAAATTATAATTGCTCGAGAGTAGGTTTTATGTGAAAACTCTGGAATGACTTACACTTTTAAGGAAGCTATTTGTGAAGTGTGTAATTTGTAGTGTGCACAGTGGAAGGTAATGTAAATAAATTGTTTATTTTGTTTTGAATTTCACACAAAGTTATACAAGGGCTATCTGTGCTAGCTCTCCCTAATTTAGCAGTGTAAGACAAGAGGGAAGGCAAATAGTCATCACCACCCACCACGAACTCTTGGGCTACTCTTTTACCAATGAATAGTGGGATTGACCATCACATTATAATGCCCCCATGGCTGAAAGGGTGAACATATTTGGTGTGACGGGGATTTGAACCCTCAGATTGCAAGTCGAGTGCCCTAACCACCTGGCCATGCCGGGCCATGTAAATAGAGTAAAGGAAAGAGAAGCCTTTAAATATGTTTTCAAACACAATATTAAGAAACAAAAAATGCAATGTTAGAAAGAACCATTTTATTTAAATACTTAAATTATGTTTTTCTAGGCTCCAAACCAAAACTTGACCTTAGGATGTAGATTAACTTTTAAACTTGTGTTTAGGTGTTAGTAATATGAAGAAAACAAAATTATGAAGTTAGAAAATCTTCAGAAAAAATACTACTTTGTCTTTGATTAAATGTTTGATATAGTTCTGTAAAATATATGATGTTCTATTGTTCAAAGTAATTATAGAGCCAACTTTTCCAAATGGTTGGGTGAGTATTATGCGTTGTGTCAGCAGCACTGTCGTCACCAGGGAACTGGTATAATTTAAAATAATCTACCAACAAAAGAACAACAATAAAATAACTGTACTGTATTATAGAAAAATCTATAGCAATTAGATTGTGAATAGCATAGTAATTTATCAGTCATTATTATCTAATTGTGTCCGGGCATATATATGGACAGATTTACCTAATTAGGTTTTTGAAGTATTATTTGTCAAAAATAGGTACTGATATGTTTCATTAGTCATGTAATGAAAAAGGTGTGAAAATCTTCTAGTACAATATATTGTTGTAAGCTGCATTTTTAATGCTTTAATTTTGGTGTTTGTTATTGATAAGAGAGGGAGTTTTGCTATGACATAGTGATGAGTAGAAGTTTCCTGAGTGTCTAGATTTTAAATGACATTTCAAATGTTTGTGACAGATATGTGAGAAAATAAATAGTGAAATATAAAAGATGAGTAAACCAGTGGGTGAGTGATTAGTTTGGTAGTGTATCTGTTCCATGTTATTGATTGATTAGTTGGTGTGTTAGCCAGTTTTGAGTTGGGTCATTAGCTGAATTCACAGAAGTTGTGGAGAGGCTTATCCATTTATCTTACGCAGTTACTTCGTGGGAAATATGGAGTTGTTGATGGAAATTGGATCAGTTAAAGTTTTATAAAAACAACTAAATTCACCATTTAGGGATTATGAATTTACCCAGTTAAATAGTGTAGAAACATTGACTCTCTCTGATAATGTGAACATACAACCTAATTTGGACCTGTTGTTCTGAAGAGATCTTTTGGGATGTAACAAATGTACTGATCTTAACCCACCTTATTTTTGTTGCTAGATGACACTATATTTGTCTAAAGAAAACTAGTAATCTACTTTTTGGCTATGATTGTAGTAACTAGAGACAAAAATAGAAAGTGCAATTTTTAAATTGTTTTGAGCAATATAAATGACGCCCTGCTTGCCTTTTGCAGTGACATTATCAGTGAGGGATGTGATGTTCTCACATTTTCCCAACATTTATATTAAATATTAGACTATTAGGCTTAGATGCTCAAGGTTTGACCACCTGATATTTATGGTTACCTTTGGTCTAGAAGAGTGTAAATGATTCATAAGGCAGTTGTTAACACAAAATGGAAAACTGGATATTACATCGGAGACTGTGACAAATCAGTCATTCATAATGAACCAAGGAGACTTTGTCTTAAGGATAAGAATACTCCATCTGTGACATTAGAAATAAGGTAGTGTACTGTTTAATGGGGATATTGATGTATTACATTGGTTGACCGGTTCTACAGCTAGAATTTCCTCCAGAGATGAAGTTCCAGAATGAGTACTGAGAACTGACTTCATGGGGAAACATGGATTGAGATTAAATTAATTTTAGGTAGTTTCACAGTCTATGACCAGGAAATCCCCATGAATCATATGACAATTACACCAGTTAGGTTGGACTTCAAATTACAATAAAGATTGAAGTAATGAGTGATAAATACAGCTGATCTGGTGTGAAATAGAGCAGAATTCAGAAAGATAGGTGGTCTAAACCAAGGTTATTCCTTGGAATTGTCTTTGGAAAAATGTTCATGGGAAAAACCATTTACTTAACTTTGGTGAAGACTTCACCAGAAGTAAGTGAACTTGATGGAGAACCCTAGATTTCTGTTGAGACATTTCTACTAATGGATTCTCTCAGCCATTTATGTGGAGAGAATTCACCACTGACAAACCAGCAAATAATGATTAAGGACAAGTATTCACCAGAAGTAAGTGAACTTGATGGAGAACCCTAGATTTCTGTTGTTCTTGTCCTTAATCATTATTTGCTGGTTTGTCAGTGGTGAATTCTCTCCACATAAATGGCTGAGAGAATCCATTAGTGGAAATTGTAGGTCGTCCTGTCTGTGTATCATAATCCGTGAAAAGAAAAACACCTAAAACGTTTGGTGAATGGACAATTTAGAGGCAGTAAATAAAATAATGTAGGAGATTTTGTTTGGTTGACCAGAACTTGACTTATTAATTTTAATGTCTATTTATGAATAGGAATTTTTGATAATTGTAAATAGTTACTATTACTAATTATGTAAGTTTAAGTTAAATATATTATTGTTTATTTGTGCATTAGGATTGTTTAAGGGACTTCACAATCTTGGGAGGTGTCAGTATTGTAGGCTTTGTTTTTAATTAAGACATCTCGTATTGTTGCTAAAAAGAGTTATTCATTTATTAGAAGACACTTCCAGGACAAATTTAAAGCTACAATTACTGCAACACCAATATTTCATGTGTACCTACTCTATTCCGTTTATGTTTACAACATATTGTAATTACTTTCACTAATCCAGTCTACCAGGTTTATATTAAAATACCCACATCTTGACAGAAGCAAGTTTTTAATATCAACTGTTACTGCATGTGTATGAAACAAAACAATGATATAAAAATTACACTTTTACCTAAAATATTGATTTCATTGCAGTATTTTAATTAACTTCAACAAGATGAGCACACTCTTTAAGTAAAATTATTTAAAATTTAATCAGTAATTTTAGAAACATTATAGTGTTGCAGTTGGGAGAATATTGGACTAATTGGATCATTTTTTACTCCAGATAAGTAGGTATTTTTATTAGTATAAGTCCAAGCATTAAAAAATATGTGGACTGAAATGTTGGTATAAAAACAAGAACTGTGTCTCAGCAGTTTTTGATATTTTCCAGAAACTTCTAAGTTATTTTATTTGCACTACATGGTTAAGCCTAATCTGTCAATCAATCCACTAAATGTATTCATTGTATGTGAAGCAACCTTTTCTTTTATCTCTATAGAGATAAATATGGGTGTATAAAGAGGGGACCAGATAAATATGGGTGTATAAAGCGCTAAAAGAGGGGACCAGGAAAATAAATCACCTTCATATGAATTTAAATATATTCTTATTCTGTGATATGACATTACATGTTTTCGAACATGTTTAAATTGACCGTTTAGCTTGCTAAACAAAAGATAAAAAAAATCTATAGAAGTTTTGATCCTCGTACATAATTATGCTATATGTTGTATAACATTTGTAGGTTTAGGTTATCAGGCTGCAGCATAAAATTCTTGGATATCTTAGTTTAATGTTGAACATTTTCTGTGAAGACATCATATATTTGATTTTATTTATCAGATTATGTTTACTTGAATAACAAACTGTTGTATAAACAAAATGATGACTTACTAAAAACTGCATCCAGTTTTGATATTGGTTTATATGTAGTTATATACATAGAATTAACCTGGGAAATATATGCCCCAGCCACAGTAAAAGGATTACATTTATTAACTTGGGAAATATATGCCCAGCCACAGTAAAAGGATTACATTTATTAACCTGGGAAATATATGCCCCAGTCACAGTAAAAGGATTACATTTATTAACCTGGTAAATATATGCCCCAGCCACAGTAAAAGGATTACATTTATTAACCTGGGTAAATATATGCCCCAGCCACAGTAAAAGGATTACATTTATTAACCTGGTAAATATATGCCCCAGCCACAGTAAAAGGATTACATTTTTAACACTGCAATTTAGTTAATTAGTCACCCGTTTTCTTTTGTTTCTATGATTTTTCTATTTCAAAAAAGTATAACTTTGTCTAATGTATTTTTTACCTTAGATGGAATTTTCAAGTACCGATGATATACAGAAAGATGCTGCTCTAATTAGCAGCAGTAGTGCATCACACTCGCCTATTTCTCACAGTGTTGTTAGTGACCAGTATTATTCTGTCATGAAGAAGCTGTATCCATCAGATGTTAAAAAAATGGTATTTCTCTTGTCTGACATCTTGCAACATGAATTAGTTAAACTGATTTTGGAGAATGAAGTTATTTTAACACCAATTGAATTTCAGGACATTCTTCTCAAGATTCCAGTAGAAAGGATAAGAAACAAGGAAACCTTAATCCGAGAACTTTTATTTCTTATTAAAAGATATCGTTTGCTTCGAGAAATTGGCAGTTGTAAGCATAAAGCCAAGGTGGAATTCCATAAAGAGGCTATATCAAAGATTAGTAAGTTCTGGTGAGTTTTTTGTTTCCACATTTTGTCTGATAAAGGTACAAATGTCCAAAATAAAATATGTATTTAGTTTTCATTCCATGCATATCATGACCTATTTGAACAAAATAACCAATTTAAAAAAAACTAAATTTAGAGTGAAAGTAAGATAAGAATTAAAAATATAATCAAAGCTAGAGAAAGAGATTAGTTTTGAGCTTCTATTCTGAGTGTGTGTGGTCTCTTTCAGTTGGGTAATACCTTTCCTGGAGAAAAAGAAGAATGTAATAAGTGTGGTCTCTTTCAGTTGGGTAATACCTTTCCTGGAGAAGAAGAATGTAATAAGTGTGGTCTCTTTCAGTTGGGT